AAAACTCTGCATTGAGGATTTTTTCAGGATGTTGAGTCTGTTATTATGGCCGTATACAAAAATACATTTGGTACTATCTCTATTCTTCCCGCGGATATCTTAAGGCTAAGGATTCATAGCGCGACCACCTCCCGCGCCCACGAAATTTTTAAAACTCACGAGACCACATTTTTCTGCGATCTTACAACAAAGTAAATGATTTTAACTTTTGAATTATTTGAGTACTTTTACCTATAGTCTCGTCACATTTTAAATATACTTCTGAATTACAATGCAACCACCAAAACCGTCCCTAAAAGTATATAAAAGTTTCAACAAACTGCAATCTCATAGTCACCCTACACAAAAGTCCTATTTCAGAGTAAAACGTATATCATTTATTACTTAGTTATCTGTGCACGATGTACGCCCGCCATATTTGTTATCGAACTATTATTGGCGGGAATTCTTCTCGCTATTTCTTTATTTTTATATTGCTAAATTATTTTATGTGTTTTGTTTATTGTATTAATTTGGATGTTAAGAGTTTTTTTTTTAAAACGTTGCACATTAGGATTTTCTCCTGTGTCGTGGGTGCGTTTACAAACATACAAGTTCACATACTCAATGACATCCAGACGAAACAACAATTTGTGGTTCACACAAAGTGTTATTCCGTGCGGGAATCGAACCCGCGACACGTTGCACGGCAGCCGGTTGCCCAGCCACCGCACATCAGAAGATATTATAAGAGGAGAAGAAGAAAAAACTATAGTTTCCACTTCTCTCGGTGAATTACTGCAGGAGACAGAATGAATTAAGCCTAAAGGCACAAAGAAGAGACTGTACAACTGGGTGAAGCCCAGTCGGCAAGCACCACGGAAATTTGACTATAAAACTAAGTTAATTGGGGGGGGGGGCTTAATTGGCCCTCTGGTAACCTCGAAACACAACACAACATTGTTTCACGTCGGTCTTCAGTGAGGCCGTGGTATCACTCCGGTCGAGCCGGCCCATTCATGTCGACGCATGCCTCACGCCTCACTTTCAACACATTTTTTTAACTCCAATTTAAATTTTTACACCAGTTAATTTAGATCATAGGTATCTAATATAGCTACCATAATCCATTCGAAAACATCTGTATAAATTCTAATAATTATAATACCGAAACTTCGAATACATTTTGCAAATGGAAAAATATTCGTAAGTATAAAAATAAAATATTACATAAAGGGCTACCTCTCGCTTTCAATTTGTTCAAGAAGGTTTGCCCTACCCTTACCGATACGTTTGCACCCTGGTTCCTTTTATTTACATAAAAAACTACCCATATCAATAGTAGGTAGCTTTGAAGAAATATTTCGATATGTCGAATGGAAAGATAGAGTTTTGAATGTAGTTTTTTTTATCGAATAGGTGGCAAATGAGTAGACGGATCACCTGATGGTAAGCAGTCGGTGCTGCCCGTGGCCATCCACAACGCTAGAGGCGATACAAGTGCGTTATCGGTCTTTTGGGGATTAGTAATTTGAGGATCGTTGGGGATTCAGGGATTGGGGAGATTTGAGAAGGGGAAGGGGGTAACTGGCAGGGGCAGCATAAGAAATAAAGGGAGACAAGAAAAGATGATATTAGACAAGTTGCAGGGTCAGTCCGAGGAAAGTGGAAACTATCGTTGTTTTCTTCTCCTCTTATAATATCTTCTGATTCACTTAGTTGCGGGAACCAAGACAGTTGTTCATGTCCTTGGGAATGATAGAATTTTTATTAAGTGTGGTAGAAAAAAATACATTTTGTCACCCTACTCTTTTCGCAAGTGTAAGAGACTACACAAACTATAATAATTTTCCTTTTGATATTCCAAAATCAAACTCTGACGTTACTCAACACGGGATATTATTCCCGGAACTCAGGAACTCGTGCAAGTCACACTTGTGTCCACTGGAGACACAAATATAAACACGATTTCCCCGAAATCCTATTTTAATCCTGTATAACGAACCAATTACCATTCTTCAGAAACCGTCAATTTTCATAGAAGATTGTAAAATAAGGCATCGTGTTCACTAAGGAACATTTGTTGCGCAACATGTTGCAATGGAGGAAACCTAGGCTTATAATTTCTAATTGGGGCTCATAAGTCATAACATAAATAGTTGCATTGTACAGTGCCATAATGTACACCTATGCCTACCCCTTTTTTACCCCCCTTTTTGTCGCGGAGAACCTAACGGGTAACCGGGGCTCCGGCTCGACGTGCAGGAGAAGGAACGGGGTGGTTTTTAGTCAGTAAGATTCTGACACTCCCTCCCGCCTCAACCAGGCGGGGGTAGTCATTCGATGATTTTCCCCCCTTAAAAAAAAAAAAA